AAAACACCAACAGAATTCCGACGGCATATAATAAAAATTCTCATCATTAATATACGCGTAAATCATTATTACAACGATTCTAGTAATGTCTGTGCTTATCTCCGCCTCCCCTCACCCCAATAAACACGTATCAAAAATGAGCACTCCATCGACTCCACGATAAATATATTAGACAGAATGGCACTTAGATACTTCCCCCTTTTCTCATAAATTACAAAGACGTGCGATAATACAAGTTTTAAAAATTAAAAGAACATTCATTTTTTTCTAAATCGAAATTGAAAGTTCGACAAAACTGAATACATATTTGCCTACTCAAAAAAGACGCACTTCAAAAGTTACAGGCCTTATAAAAGGAGTTCCCTGGTACGTTAACAAAAAAACTTCACATAACGACTTACGACAACCAACTATTGACCAACACATACTTACTCTCTACTCTCACTTTCAACTTAAACTACACGGCCACAACATACTTATAAACGACATGGCCACGACTGACATGCCCATCAGGAGACTAAAAAGGACCTCTTGTTCTGAATCAAGGAAGAGGTGCTGCTGAGTGCTATCATTCCTCATACCTATAATGCCAATCATGATTTATTACAACAAATCTAATGATTGTCAATACCATGACAGGTGCGAATAGATATTTGGGGTGAAAGGGTCGTTGAATCAGTTTGAAGTACTATTTGTAGACCAATGGGTAAGCAGGGAGGTGATTGGGTCGAGAAACCCACAAGCCTCTGGTTTTCCCTTCTGTCAATTAATTAATTAAGGATATTCACTATGTAAAGGCTCTGTGCCACAGGAAGGACTCCCAACCACAGGGTCGATCCACGATTGATAAAACAGAATTATCTGCCACAGTCGGACTAAATTTTTGTATTTAACAATAGGAGCACTGGTCCACTCTGATTTTTTGGGATCCAATTCTTCAAAAACTAAATGTAAAATTATAATTCTAAACAAACGTTCAATAGTTTTTTTTTTAAATAAAATATTTCAAGTTGCCGCCTTCCATTCTAAAAGTATCTTATCTGCGACTTAATTCTAAATTTCAACACACTCCCAGTTTACCAACCGTCTTGAAAATCGCCGTCTTAAAATAAAACAGACTTTATATGTAGCAGATTCCAAGTCTTTAGCGTCCTACAGGTATCCGCTGTATTTCAAAACAAATTTTCTAAATCATGGTCAGACATAAGAATTTATTACTGAGCTACCAAGGATAGTACAGCTAAAGATACAGGTACAAATTAACAAATAGAAAAAAAAATATATTATTTAGTCATATTAATGGAAATAGGATGTTCAACAATTGTTCGACGTCCCTTTGTCCCAATACTAGACGTCGATAAAAAAAAAAAAAAAATTTAGCATATATGAAGATCATTTTCTCATCTTTATTTTAATATAGAGTAACTTTTTCTTCTTTTTTTTTTCGGTTGGCGCTACAGATCTTGAAGATCTTTGACCGCGAGGTGTGGTCCACATCCCGATTCCTGATTTAAGTATACGGGGGTAGGGTCATCAGTCCTACGTCCGGTCGGTGTGAGTTGCCTCCAGTAGCCTGACGGGTCTCATATACCTGGGGGAGGTCTCGGACAGCGTGGCTTTCCCTGGTGGATGGTCACCCATCCTAGTGCTAACCACGCTCGGCGTTGCTTAACTTGGTTATCAATTGCAAGTGCCTTAGCCTGTACGGCTACCCCAGCCCCTTCCCAGGGTAACTATTTGCATAAAAAATTTTGTTTGCATGTTTTAAGCCAAAAAAATGTAATTTTGTTGGTTCTCTGATCATTTTTCATATCTGTCAAAAAAAAAAATTATGAACTTCAGATAAAAACTAGAAACACATTTCTTTCGAGATATATCATAAAGACATCCTTCCTTTTCAGATACCAAACAAACTGTGAAAAACAAATAGAAGAAAATCAAAACAATAAAAGACCTATTATTTATGTTATGTTTATTATTGTGTAGTCAAGTTCATAAATATAAATAATTAGAAGACTGGATGGAATGGAATACAAAATAACTAAAATAAAAATACAAGTAATATTATCTATTTATTCAACATGGGAGCTGATAATGAAAAATTAATATGACTAGTAATAAAATATAAAATCTATTTCTTAATCACACTCAGAATTTCAATAATAGAGCATAATATGAATGAAATCAAAATTATTAGAGGGTCAATTTAACACTTCTAAATTCCAAAATAAACTGAATTAGAATGGTAAAAAGGATACATAAATTAAATATAATTATATTAACTAAAGCTCAACCACAATTAGTCAGCAGCCCTACGGCGACATGAAACAGTGCTAAGTTGGAACTAATTTTCTGTTTTTCCTCTTATTATTATGGCACTACAGTCCAGCAAGAACCCAGGCCTTCTTCACTACAGCCAACCAATCTCCACGATCATGTGCTATCTCGCAACGAGTTTTTCTCTACGATCATGTGCTCTTAGCGAGTTTTTCCCTAACTCTCCAAAATTATTTATGAAATATACATAGGTGTATATCACTGTGTGAAAGGTCATTTGTAATAATTTTAATGTGACATTTTATAATCCACTACTATGGAAAATAGCAGAGGGAAATAAAATATAATATTACAATAATGTATAATAAAGAAATAATCAGTCTCTTCTGTAAAAACACTAAATGTTTACATGATCTTTTGCACTAAAAACAGCGATATATTTTTCTTTAAATTTCATCAATTTTAAAATACAATTAGTCACTGCTCTATATCTGATTTAATATTTTCTAAAAAAAAAAAAAATTATTACTCAGCATATGAGACAGCTAATACATTAACTAATGAAAACATTACATCCATTTTTATTTAATTTAACTAATATCGTATCAAGACAAGGTAGTGGGTTAGCTCAGTGAATAAGGCACTGTGCAACTATTCTCAAGGGCCCAGATTTAAGTCTGGCTGTGGCAGATGATATTATGAACTCTGTTAAAGCCCTAGATCGACCCTAGGGTAGGAAGACCCTCCTGGGGTATGCCCAGCCTCTTTAAAATGATTACCCTTAATTAAGTAATTGATTAAGGAAACTCGTGGATAAGCGTGATCCTGGACCAATTACCTCCCTGCACAACTTTTGACCTTGAAACAGTACTTTCTTTCAAAGTACTGAACCCAACACACTTCTTGGATCATAGAGGTACGTGTTCATACCAAGACAAATGTCAAAATATTCTAAATTTAATAAAACTATAAAATTTGAGTAGTGATCCTAAACTAAAATTAAAAGCTAACTAAAGTTTAATAAAAAAATAACTTAAAAAATATTTCCATCCATTAATAGCCATGGAAAAAATATATATTCCATGGATGTATATATATATTCACGTTCTTATTTGTATATTTAGATCCAGATCACAAGAATTTGTTCCATTGTTTACAAAGGAAAAAATAATTATACTAAAATGACAATTAAAAGGACACTTTCAACTTATGAGAATTTTATTTTAGTTTCAAAAATAGTTGAGCATGAGATTAATGACAAGCAATGATATTAGCCTATCCAAAATGATATCATCAGTCACCTACATCAGCAATCAATATATATACAGCCCGATTCGAAGGTTACTATGATAAATTAAAACAAAACACATCATCATTTAAAAAATAACTTTATTATCAACCGTTATTAAAAGAATCATACAGGAATTAAACTATTTATAAATCAATAACATCGAGTATAAATGTGTTCCTAAATAAACATGCCATATAAGGCCAAAATTTATAAGGTAGATAGCATAACTTAAGAAGTATGATTTAAACAAATGGTAAAAGATAAAATACAGTTTGAGTTTAAGAGATTTTTTAACTAAACAAGCATAAAAACTAAATGTATCCATTAATTAATCTACATGCAGAAGTAACAACTTCAGAGAAAGTACCACATAGATCAAATAGTTAAAAAAATAATTGATAAAGAAAATTATTGGAATCAAATTAAAACCAGTAAATATTGACTATAGAAGGAAATTCAACCGAAAGAAATGTTAAAAAAATGTATATGTCAACAAAATTGATGAATTGTCAAATGTCAAATTGGCCAATAAAAAAAACTTCTACAATAGATGAATTTATATCGAAATATAAATACATTAAAAGGTCTCAAAGATGTTCAAAACTAATTAAAGTATCAAAAGATAAAGATACTGGCCCAAAAATTGTTTAAAACATACCATCTCTTTGCAACTAGGACAACTCAAGATTAACAAGAAGGGATATTCAAAGAGATGTTAACCTAACAGAATAACAAAACAATCTATACAAGATTTATATTATATTAAAAACATTAAGTCCATGAGGATAACATGATAAAAGAAAATTAGAGGAGAATTTGAAAGAATTCAATACATACATAACCTGAACAGATGACACAATAAAACTTTACAACAGGTAATTGAAGATGCAGAATACCAAATCGATAGCTAAAAAACATATGCAAGAAAGTAAATCCATTTATTTATTTATAATTGTAATTCATTGGACATCTGGACCAGAAAGGTTATAAAGTCATCGGTGCTTCGGCAAACGGCATAGAGCATAGCTGGCTCACAATATGCAACAGAATATGTTTTATCCCCACCGAAATGTAGAATGTATCATTTATTTACCTGTACATTTTGGAGAGCTCGAATTTGCCTCCAGTCTATCAGCCATTTTTGCACAACACAACAGGGTAATACTACTGGACTGGAAAGGTTACGGGACCTGAAATGAAACCCTACCAATCTTATCGATATTATGTTTTTTTTTTAAGGTTTAAAGATTGAATCAAAATATTTAACGAAAAAACTCATATTAAATGGGGTACTTTTGAAAAAAAAAATTATAACTTAAGGATTATTAACTTTTCAACTGAAAATTGCAATCAAGTGACAGCAGTGCATTGTGGGTAGCCGGCTCAGGTATTAACTTTCAGGAATGCAATCAACTTTTCAGTTTCTCGTGTCGGGTGAGAGTGGTTCGTTTGGAGAGAGGTGTCCTCTTTTTCAGTCTAGAAATCCTCCTGACAAAGTTTATACACGATGTCAGATCCAACCATTGTGATAGTTGAAGCAGTCAGGACACCTATAGGTAATTTTTAATGAAACTTTTTAATTTTAAATTATTGCTTTTAGTATTCAGTTAAATATGAAGTGAAAAAGCAGTTTTAAAAATAATTAGAAATCTTTGAAAAATAGGTTCCATTTGTGGTTCACTTTCTTCTGTGAAATCTCATGAGTTAGGAACTGCTGTCATTAAGGAGCTTCTTTTGAGAACCAAACTGCCATCAAGCGCAATATCAGAAGTGATTATGGGACAGGTAATTTCATAAGCATAAATAAGAACTTACAGAAATATATTAGCCATCCTTTACTTTTATCAGCAAGTATCCTATCATCTGTAATTCTAAATACAGTGAAACCTCTTCATAATGACCTCTCGCTTGATAGGACACCTCTATTTAAAGATCGATCTTCAATGTACTTATACTGGAGTTTGCAAAAACAATGTTTTTGAAACCTCTATTGGGAAAGCACTAGATAGAAAACTGGGATAACGATAATTATCTGTAGATGGTTTTTTTGGGTACTTCTCTTGGTAGCTAAATACCTCTTGATCAAATACAGCATGAGATTTGTTTATTCTCTCCAAATAATATATTAGTCATTCATATTTAAACAAAATCGTTCCTTGGCCTTTCCCTTTTTTAATTCAAAAGAAATCTTTTATTTGCAAGATTAGGTCATTCTAATTAGGATTACCTTTCAATGGATGGTTATGTGTTTACCGATAAATAGAATTTTAAGTTAGATTAATAATGTCATAAAAAAATTCCAAGTAGTTACATACGTAAGAATTTGTTCAAAACAAAACCATTTTCATAAGAATTGTAGTAGATTTAAACAGTCTACATTCCTTTTACTTGCACACGCTTATGCTATTTTAAATTTATACATATAATACAATTTTTTTTTTAATAAACCCTGAAATGACTCTTTAAACTAAATGACCTAATACCCAGAAAGAATAATTAGTTTAATATATTTATACAGAGAGAGATAAAACAACATACAACTTTTTAAAAAACTAAACATTATTAACAACTCTATAGGACAAAAAATTAATATTTATTTGATTTTGTGTTTTGCTTCAAGACACGTCGGCAAATGTCAAAATAAATATTTTTATTTATTTTTGCCTTCTTATTTGACTGATCACCCCAACTATTCTTCTCTTCATTATTCACGACAGCCAACCATTTACCCACAATTAGGAAGTATTTAGATCTAGTATATTATAAAATTTATATGACTGATTCTTGTATAAAAGATCGGATTGACATGAAAACTATATCAAAGTTAATTATTTTTTTATCCGTTTATTTAATGTACCAATGGAATATTATATAGAACTGTTAATAATTAACTTTTATGGAACTGGTACTACTTCTGAACTGCATAAAAAGTTTTAGAAAGGGTTACAAAATTCATTATTACTAGTATTAGAATTATTTATATTGTATAAATATTATTTAATATTTTGTTTGATTTAAGGTACTTACTGCAGGAGCAGGTCAAAATCCAGCCAGACAATCGGCCATAAACGCTGGCATTCCTATTACAGTTCCTGCCTATACTATTAATCAACTTTGCGGATCTGGCTTAAAGTAAATTAATTACTAAACTATATACTTTTAAAAATAATTGTCTTAAAATGTTTTTACATAAGTATTCTTTAGGTCTGTTTTCCTAGGATATCAGAGTATCAAGGCTGGCGAGACTAGTATTGTCATATGTGGGGGACAGGAATCAATGTCAATGGCCCCTCATTGTGTTCTGATGCGAAAGTCTGTAAAAATGGGAAATACACCTCTTGTGTGTACACTAACTACAGATGGATTAACTGATGCGTTTAATTCTATTCATATGGGCTTGACAGGTATTGGTGTCTTAATTTTAAAATAACAATGTAATATTTAAAAAGTTGTAAGTAGAAAGTATCATTTTTCATCTTTTATTTCAGCTGAAAATATAGCCCAAGAATTCAACATATCAAGAAAAGAGCAAGATTTATTTGCTGCTAAATCTCAAAATAAAACAGAAGCTGCTCAAAAGCAAGGCTATTTCGATAAAGAAATAGTTACAATTACAGTAAAAGATAGGAAAGGAGATATATTAGTTAGCAAGGATGAATTTCCCTGTCATGGAACTACATGTGGAACCCTTGAGCGGCTCAGGCCAGCTTTTTTAAAAGTATGTCTTGAACCATATGGATGAAATGTCTTACTTAAGTTTTTAAAAAGTTAATTATCCACAAATGAAAAATTACAAGGCAATACTTTGTGATAATCACAATGATATTTACTAATTAATTGAAAATATTAATTAAGGATACTCTACTTCTAATACAAAATGTAATGTTACTAATATTTTGATAATTCCACAGGAGTTTGATTCTAATAATATTAATACTGTCTTTCAATTGTTAATATTCATTTGAAATTCTAATGTACTATATTTTGTACTGTCTACTTTAAATAACATTAGAATTATCTGTTTTTATATTTATAGCTTAAAAGAAAATGATTCAGGCAACTTACAATTAATTTAACAGTCAATGGGATAAAGCTAATATCAATAAATTCATTTTCATAATTAAGCATTATTCAATATTGATACATGTATTTCAAATAACAACACTTACCCATTATTTAAATGATATTTAATAATACACAATAAACTGTTGAACTTTTAGATACACTTATAAAATAATCAGGCTTACCAACATATTCCAATGTTCAATGCTTTTACAATTAGTTTGGATTATATTTGACTTATTATTTGTTATTAGATATTATTATAATTTTAATTTAGGTATATAATATGATACAATTAAATAGTTCAAAAAAATATATATTGCTACTGTATAATGTTGCAAGTATATTAGAAATATTTAAAATATATTTTATTTTATACATTATTACAGGATGGTACAGTGACTGCAGGAAATGCATCTGGTTTGAATGATGGTGCTGCTGGAGTAATTTTGATGACATTGGATGAAGCAAGAAAACAAAATTTAGTTCCAAAAGTAAAAATTATTGGTTTTGGTCAAGCTGGGCTGGAACCAAAGGTTATGGGTTTAGGGCCAATTCCTGCGATTAAAAATTTGGTAAGCTGCATTCTTCTCATTATAATTAATAAAATGCTGTGGTGAGTGAAAAAAAAACTATGTTTTTCAACAATAACTAATTATTATTATTAATTCTTTTGAATTTCTCAAACACTTTTTAAATAAGATTATTTTTTTTTCAACAATATTAAGAACACTTGTTGCTTTATATTTCTTACAGTATGTTAATGATATCTGTACCCGGTGTTAGTTTGTATCTCACACCAAATTCTGTAACTCTTTGAATTTATAAATAGGTTAATTAATTTTAAATTGTACCAAAAGAGAATAAAAATGGGAGCATGATAAAATGAACATTTTTTTTTAAATAAAGACTGATTCTTTAAGTGAGGAATGTATATTGGTTCTCTACTTATTAACATACTGATATTAATTAAGCAGTTACAATACAATCATTCGCACTTAATTTGATAAATAATGTTACATAATATATAAAATATTTCAGCTGGTATTTGGCTGAGAACCAAGTCCATGATAAATAATTTTAATAAATAAAAATACTATTAAATTGTGATGTGGTGCTTTAATAAACTTCACAATAGAGCCAACATTGTATTTAAAAATAAGTTCCCACAAATTATTTTTTCATGAAACCAACAATAACTGAGATTTCCATACGTTATTCATGGGAATGATACTATCTCAAGGAGTATTCTAAAAGAATATCCTTTTAGAATATTTTCCTGTCCAACTTATTTTTTGCCATGACCTTTTCTCCTCATATCTGTAAAATAGAGAAGATTTACTATAAATGGATTCAAACTAAAAAAAAAATAAATTATGATAGGGTTTTATTACTAAGAATCATCAATGTAATTGTATATATATATATATATATATATATATATATATATATATATATACAATTACATTGATGATTTTTAGTAATACAACCCTATTATAATTTTATATATATATATATATACAGTGTGTGTGTGTTTTACATTATGTCTACAATTGAATGTTTAACATTTAAAAACAAGCAATAATCGCACCTCAGTAGAACACTTCATTGGTAACATAACTGCCCCGGTGCAAATAAATTCTAATAAATCTCATCAAATCACTTTTACCCTTTGCCATAAAATGACCTCCTGTCCTACAGTATCCTTTGATAATACCCCATTATCCCTGTTCGATACTTTCGACTTCACTTGGACAAACGTATAACTTGGAATCCTCATACCAGACTGAAACGACAAGAAACCGCTCGACGTTTCAGACTACTCCAGCACTTATTAGACAAACGCTCTAAGCTATTAGTTAATTACAAAAGACTCATATTCATGACTATAAGGCCAATCTGGACTTGCGAAATTGAGCTTTGGGGCTCCACTAAACCATCGAATTCCTCTTGTATCTAATCCTTACAATCTAAAATCCTTCGTAAAATTCTCAATGCTCCTTACTTTGTCACAAATAAAATCATTCATAACGACCTTAACGTACCATATGTTTCCGATTTAGCCCAATCCAGATACCTATCCTTCCATAAAATACTGCAAAACCATCCGAATCCTCTCGTTTTAAACATTGCTTCCTTTTCAATTCCTAACAACCCACCAAGGCGTCTGAAAAGAAGATGGTCTCGAGATCTCCTATTGTAAATACATTTTTTTTTTTAGAGTTCTACAAGTGGGTAGCTTCTCAACAAGTTATATTATTTTCTGTTATCAAATTTACTAAATGTATTTTATTTCTTAATACAGTTGTAAATATCATAAATAAAAAAAAATTAACATTTAAAAATTATATCTATTAACTTTAAAATAGTTAACTTCAAACTTATTAGAAAAACTTAGGCAAGATAACTAATTAAAAAAAGGAAACTTTTGTTCAGCTTTGATATATTTAGTCTCTATTCTCCTATAGATTTATTTAGTTTACAATTATTTTTTTATAAATTAAAAATATGCTATTAATATAAACTAAATTAGGAGTTACTAGGCTTAATATGCATTTTTTAAAGATATCAACATATTTGGTATTATGTAAAAATTGTGGTTTTTGCACTTTTGATATTTGATAAACTTGTCTTTAAAAAAATTACATACTTTATCCTGCTATAAAAACAGTGATGATATGTTTCTAGTTATTGTTGCAATCCACTTAGAGAAAGAAAAAAAATAGGCCCAATCTTTTAACTAAGAAGGGCATCGTTTAACCCATTAATTTTACTATTAAATAAGCACTTTAATTTCTGAAGATAAACTGTACCAAGATTGTTCTATAATTATTTTTTTTTTTACTAGCCTGTTCTTACACATATTTTTCACTTTGTAGTTCTCCCCTAATTAAGGAGGTAATGATCTAATTTCCCATCGGGACCAGCTGTACTGGGAAGTAGGAGCTGGGATTTATTAGTAACAATAAAATTTGTATTATTATTTTCAGCTAAAGAAAATTTCTTGGTCTATCAATGAAGTGGATCTTTTTGAGTTAAATGAGGCATTTGCTGCCCAATCAATTGCAGTGGTTAGAGAACTGGGAATTGATGAGGAAAAGGTAAACATCAGTGGAGGAGCTATAGCATTAGGCCATCCTGTGGGAGCATCAGGTATATTTTCTTGTGATTAAAATAAATTCTAATAATGATACAATGTTATTCATCAAAATGTGAATTTCAATATACTGGACATCTCATATAGCTTAAACTGGGAAAGCTGCTTAGATGAAAAGTTAAGGATTTTCATCTAACCACTCAGAAACTCAGAGAAATTTCTGATTATTTTTGCCAATAAATTATAAAATGAATAGTTACTAAAAAATCTATAAATCGTGAACTTTCTTCCACCAAACCTGCTACACTGAATGTCATCTTCGTTGTGTGGTATTAGTTGTCATCCATACTATTTTAAACTCATATTGTTGCTACTGTATTATATATTTTTGAAGTTTATATATTAAAAATAGTTTGTTTTTGATATACTTAAGAATCCGTCTGAGGTTAATTTGCCGGTGGGTAGAGAGATGCAGTGGCAAAACATTTTCCAGCTGATCCTCCACTCTTCTACAATGTTTGTCTATTTTCCTTCAGAAACAATAGACTATTTGCACTGTATTGAAAGTCGTCAGTTGAAGGTGGGATTTGGATTTCTATCCATTTTAGAAACCCTTGAGTACAATTCTGCAAATTTTAGAGATGTCAGTTATATATATTCTCCCCTCCCCCCCCCACTACATTTTGGCTCTTATTTGACCGAATAAGCTGAAGTTCGGTATACAGAGTTTGTTCTCGGGTGGAACAATATTATTAAACTTTATGGCATGTAAGAACGTTTTTTCCCTGTAACGATATTAATAAAAACTTTCCTAGTGTATTCTCCGTAAAACACTATAAATTTATGTATATAACATACTTTCTTGACTTGAAAAGGAGGTTTGACGAATATAAGACTTTATTTGCGAATAACTCAAAGAGGGTGCACTTTTTGGGTCAAAACATATTTTGACGATATTTAAAAATCGTCTAATGTAAATAAAAGGATAAAAAAACTTTCATCCAAATCTAGCCAGTATTAACAAAGATCCGTCATACAGTTTCTTTAGGACAAAACAATGGCCAACTTTACAACATTTGGTAAATATTTAGAACAACATATCTCTTTACCAAATTGTCTGATTCTAATGATCTTTTTTTATTTTTTAGGTAATTTAGTATACTATAAAAAGGAGGCTATACAATATCAACAAAAAAGTTAATAATTTTGGGGTTTTTCAGATATCCAATGTTAACATCATAATTATTTTTTCCGGCTTCTTTTGGGTGAAGTTTATTATAGATGTAAATTTAAAGTTGAATGAAGAGAAGAATAGTTGGGGTGCTCAGTCAAAAAAGGAAGGCAAAAATAAATTATAATATTTATTTTTTACATATGCCGACGTTTCGACCTGAAGTTCAGGCCATCATCAGGGCTAAGAAAATAACCAGATAACTTCATTACTTAAGTTTCTCATACCTTGTTATCTGGTTATTTTCTTAGCCCTGATGATGGCCTGAACTTCAGGTCGAAACGTCGGCATATGTAAAAAATAAATATTATAATTTATTTTTGCCTTCCTTTTTTGACTGAGCACCCCAACTATTCTTCTCTTCATTATCCACGACAGTCAACCAATTACCAATTATAAATTTAAAGTTCTTCGAGTAGAAGACTGTGGACATCTTTCATTAAAATCGGTTCATAGGTTTAGGTGCTCCGTCGGTTTTTATGTACATAGCTTATCAAAAAGATATGTTATTAAATAACTATTTTGTAATGTCCTAATCTTTGCTTATAAATGTTTTCCAATGTGGTAGATAAAGTCGTTCGCTTTACATATTGAACTTATAACTATTTGAATATAATAAACCATTGGATAATAATTTGCAAAGTTTTTATTTATCTACTTAATGCCAATGAAACAATTTAATCCCTTTCTATTTTTAAAAAATTAAAAATAAGTGGAAAATAGAACTTTAGTGATGGAGCTCTGCTGCTCACACCTTTTTTTTACAAGTAGACATTTCTTTTATAATTTTTTTTTCCAAAAATATATTTATGAACATATATAAATTCGTGATAGGGTTTTGGGGAGGTGGAACATAAGCCTTGCAAGATTTGTTAAATCAGTTTTGATTAGAAGGTTTGATTCAATTCATCAAAATGAAATTAAAAATTGAAAATCACTTAATTTATTCTATGGATGAAATGTCTTCTTTGAAAGAAAGTTCCTCACCTGTTGAGAATCAGTGAAGCTTTATCACAAATATTTTTTTCAATAGTGGTAGCAGAATGAACTACTGTAATTTCATTTTTATAAATTGAATAATTTAATTGTTTTTTTTTTTTTTAGGAGCCAGGGTATTGGTTACCTTGATATATGCACTGCAAAGAACGGGAAAATCAAAAGGAATCGCAGCACTTTGTATTGGAGGAGGTATGGGTATTGCGATAGCTGTAGAGAGAATTTAACTCTTCAAGATTATAATGTTTTGTTATAATTAAATGTATAATTTTAACAATTTTGTGCTTAGAATCACTGTTAGAGACAAATTAAGATAAAATACAGTATTTTTATTGTTAATAGCTATATGTAACATTCTTAGTTTGGCACAAGTATCTCAGGAATTTGTAAGCATTTTGTTACACTATTATTTAGTTTTTAATATTTTTATTTTAATTGCTGTGAACTTCCTAGAAGTTTTTAATGCATAAATTATGACATTTGTTATTTTAGGTATAAAATTTTGATTTTTTTTTTTTTTTAACAAGATTTATATATTGTACGTTATGTTTTAATTTAATTATTTTGTTTAATGAAAAGTAAAGTGTATGTAAAATTAAATTATTAAAATATTTTGTTTAATGGAAAAAAAATTGTATGCTAAAGAGGAATGAATGATGGTTAAAGGTAGTATGAATGGTAAAATTTTATAAATTTGTTAATTTTTGTTGTTTATTATTAGGTTGTTTACATAATATATTAAATAAACCATGTTACTACTAATGATCATAGATCTTGATATTCAGGGGATTAGGTACTACCACACTATTTATCATTTTATTGTTTAAAATGAATTATGGATGCTATAAAAATGTATGACATACATTATGCTATTTTTTAATCCAAAGAATGATTGGAGAATGTTTAATATATGTGAAATTAGAATGCTAATTACCAAAAAAGCATTATGAAATTTAGGTAACCAGTCATTTTTAACACGTTGATGGCCACAATGCTTTTTAAGAATTCCGGTCTAAAAGCCAATTTAATTTAATCATGTCATGTTATTAAAAACTCGAATTTTAATACATAGTTAACATCAAAAAGCAGTATGACTTTCATTGTTGCTGCAAAAATATGGCACCTAAGTAATCTTCTAAATAACTTGTAGTTGGCGTCCATGGTCAAGAATATTAACTTTTTTTTCTTTTTGGCTACACAAGATTTTTCCCAGGCCATGGGAGGGGGTGGGGGATTATGTCAGGGTTGAAAGCCACTGACAGCAGGACTTGAACTCATATACTTCAGTTTATCAAGTTGCTGGGCAACTTGTGTTCTACACCCCTTAACAATAATAACTAAGAATTATCTAGTAAGTTGGCAATCAGCGTGTTAAAATATCTCTTTGTTTTAATAAATTGACAGCAAGTGCTGTAAATGAATCTCAGCAGCATAAAATATTTTGCTCAATTCTTGACATTGCCTAGTCATATTTAATCAATGATGTAAGTTATTCAATTCCTTATGGCATCTGAATATTACGTATTTATTCGAGTTAATGTTACACAAGGCAAATGGTTATTAATCAAAAAAAAATTTTTATTGCACTATTGAACTCAAATTAATTAGGGTAAAAGGGATGTTAGTAAAAAAACATGTTAAATATTTGTTTGTTGATAAATAAATAATGATTTTATTGATGATTTAATCAATTAAAAATATTTACTTAAATCTTAAAAAAAAAAAAAAAAACTTGTTATAGCTCATTGAAGTAATTGGACTTTTGTGGAAATATTGTTAACTTTCAATCTAACCAATTTTTTCAATTATAATACATATTTAAGTAAAGTTAAGAAGTATTGAAAAACAGGTAAATTGCCATGCTCCATGAAGTCCATATATAAATCAGGACAAACCATAATTTTGCAGAAAGTCTAAATGATATCCCCTACTCTTTCATATCCATTCTTTATGCAGAGAAGAAAACTATGAATTACTGAGGTTAGAACCTTAAAATCTAAGTCCAGAAATTGTTTTTGTTCCTTCGATTTTATATATATGGAAAAAAAAGAGTATTATTTTTATTGATACTGAACTATCTTATTAGTTTCCCTTTTTTTTTTTAATTTTTGTTTTTATAAAAACAATTTTATGGGTTTAATACATTATTCATGCCCCTCAATCCAAGTCCAAAATATAGCAGAAATTACTTGGTCAAAGATAGTTCTTAGAGGTCTTTTATCGCTTTTGTTAATTATCTTCCTCTTCAGTTTTTTATTACAATTACCAAAATGCTCAATTACTTTTTCAGGAAGAATATTATTGGGATTTTCATTAGTCTTATCACTACAATACTTTTTGAATAAGAATATTATAAAGATTTTCGTATTTCTATCTTAGTTCTCCGTTAAACTTTGCTAAAGAAGCTACTTCTGTGTCATTGCACACTTGTTTAATCCTTTATAGACAAATGGTACACATTAGTCATAGTCCATACGTCATTTAGAATTCTACAATATTTTATTGTGAACTATTAAGTGGAAACCAAGACTAGGAATTATGTTAAGGACTATTCCACTGAAAGAGCTGGTTTAGAAAATTTGGTGTATAAATTCTGTACCAGCGACCATGTGCTTAATATACCCCAAATTGTCTACATTCCTGTAATTACGAAATTGAAAGGAAAAAAAATATAGTATCAAATAATTTTAATTTAAATTCACTAAAAATTACCCTCTCCCTCACTAAAAATTTGAGGTTTATGTTTCAAAATACATAAGATACAAAATTCGTCCTTCATATTTACTGGGAGGTGCAATTTCTATGACCGCGAGTGTATTTAAAGCAAAATGTATGTATGTCTAATTTCAGTACTTCTCAAAGATTTTAACTAAGGTGAAAAATTATACTCAACTAATTACCATTCTGTTTTTATCAATCAACGTATGTTTATATTGAATAAAATGTTAACAATGTATGGAAACAAAACAAATATAATATGTCAATAAGTTGTTTTTTACTGATCTGAGACTGAAATTAGGTTTAGAAAATTATATCTAACTCTTAAAAAGACCAATAATGGGTCCAATGTTATAAGTACCAAAGAAAAGGATGACCATGACAATAACAATAAAACATTATTTTTAATGTTAAAAAGTGGATTGCCAAAGAGGTGCTGTTTTGGTATCGCACACAGAATGACAGATAAAACTCAAAATTTCAATTGTTGGATCTATCATCATTCCAAAAACCAGTTGGCCCTCAAATACATTAGGTGATGTTCTGGCAATATGTGTTATAATAACACCTTAGATGCTTCCCTATAGAACTTAAAATATGTATATTATGTTGATTAAAAAAAAATGTTTGAGTTGTGCCTTATCATTCTGGTGTGTGATATATGTAGTTAGCTGAAAAGATTTATAAATTCATTATCTTTTATAAGTAATACTAATTTATATATATATAATATAATATTAAATGTTTAATTGATATTTAGATTGTTGGCATCAATAATTTTATAAAGGTTTTTGTAATTTTGAGATTGATGAAGTAAAATAAAGTATTGTTTTGGAATTGTATAATATACAAGTTGCACGTAGAATTGAGTTGGATATAATTTTTCATTTATTTTTTTATTGTTTTAAGTAAATAAAAAATAAGTATGTGAATATGAAGTTTTTTTTTACATATAAAGAAATAAAGTTAAACAGAAATCTGATTTCCTTCATTGAACTAAATAGTATTTAATTATTGAAACCAATCACAGGAGTAAATCTTTAGTAAATAAAAATTAATTATAGGAAAATTTGTTTTTATTTAAATGGACGTCTAATTGATTTGAGTTACAAACCCAAGAGAGAAAAGACACGTAAAAAAAAACATTGTTTGAGATCTTGGCTTTTGAGAACTCAGTAACTTTGAAAAAAAAAAAACATAAATCTTTAACTCCTCCAACTATCAACTAATGGTACCCCAAAGAAGCAAGTCAACGTGAAAAATAAAAAAAAAAGTTAATTTTAAGTATAAAATTGAGTATTAAAATCAAATATACAATTATTTATGGGCATTTCACAAATACTAAATCAATTAGTCCTCTTAAGGATAGTTTCTTCATTAAAAAAATATTTTGTTTTTATTATAAGCTTTCTATTTTGTTTATTATAAGCTTTTGTTGTATAAATTATTATTCTATTAAATAAATTATTTATATTTGTTTAATTTTATTTATTTGCAAACCTTAGAAAATAAAAATATCGTTGCTGTTAGTGCAAAGGACTGTACCAAAAATTGAGTTTCTTTTTACAGAAGAGCAAAAAAACTGATTACTTCTTTATGATTTATTAGTATAATTTCATACTTAACTTCCATGTGCTAATTTAGCAGACTACTTATTACTGTTGCAGACTACAATATGTCACCTTTAGCACAAATAGAATAAACATGGTAAATTGTTACATACGGCTTTTGCACTAACAGTTGCACAACATATATAATTTTAATATTCAAATTTAATTTTTTAAACTTTTCACAAAAATAAAAATCTTTACAATATACAAATATAATTATAATACATAAAAAAACATATCCAAGTCTAAAAAAGATTTTACTAGTTTCCATTTAGCCTTTGAACTAAATCTAAACTATTGAGTAAGCAAGAAGGTAAATTTTATTTTTTATTTGTTTTTTTACAGAGAACAACCATTAATCAGTTATATGTTAATCATTTTGTTTAATGACATTCACTTTATGACTACACACTCATAGAAATTTTGGTCCTGGTAAAAAAACAAAAAATTAATAAATGCCAGATGATGCCTAGTATATTGGAGCCAGTTTTCTGATTAAGTTCCATCAAATGCTCTTTTTAAAGAATGATTTTAAATAGAAAAATTGTAATATTTTTATGAGAAGGAGTTAGTCGGGGGTGCAGTCAGATAAATACTAAATTAAAATATAGTAATAATTTTATTTTAAAATAAAATTATTAAAATAAAATAAATAATGTAATGATAATAAATACAAAATAAAATAAATAAAAATAAAATTAATAATTTTATTAAAATAAAATTATTACTATATTTTAATTTAGTATTTATCTGACCGCACCCCCCGACTAACTCCTTCTCATATTATATCAACGGTCAACCATCTCTACATCATTGTAATTTTTTTAATTATTTCACCAATCGGGAATACAGAGATATGGTGTTCATGTATGGGTACTGTAACTGCTTCACTATAACGGTCGTATTAGACTTGTTGAAAGGCCCTATTTTCATTGAACTTAGTAAATTAAATCACTGTTTACTCAAAAAATTGTGTCTACTTTACAATGATGTACTTAGAATTTAATTATCCTGAACAATTTGTGAGCGATTGCTTCTTATTTAATGAAAAACCTGACCCCCTTAAGAAAAACACAAAATTGGTTTTAACCATTTTTCCTTTCGGAATCGGCTCCTGCATCAAATGAATTTTTTTGTTAGAAATTTTGTATAGAATCAACCCTCAGAGTTTGGCTATTAAGAACTAAGACACCCTGTATATATTTTTATTTATATGTGCACTGAAAGTTGATGTAACAGATGTGACATCACTTCTAATCAACATACAATAATTCCCCATGGGAAATTAAAGACATCCAAGGTTTTTCATTATCGTGGTAGAACACTATTATTTTTCTACGAGGTAATTATTCTGATTTTTTTTTTTTTTTACTTTATTCAGTTTTTAAGAATATTTAATAGTAAATATCAATTGAATAGCCATAACGGCTGAGAGTGTTAGAGCATAGTAACCATAACATCCTCGAGTCTAGTGGTGCCGTGGGAATCCGACCTGCGTGTGTTGAAATTTGTTTTGCGACAGACCCATAAAATTATTACTGAATTTTCCACTCTGGTGAAAATAGGTTGGTTGAAATGTTACTCTCATAAATTAAAAAGAAGAGTAGAATCGACAGCAACTCAAGAAATCATCTTAAAGAATATTTTTCTAACAAGGTAAAAGCAATTGTTAATTACTTGAGTCACCAGAATAAGCCACTTATAAAAATTATTATAAAATAAAATATTAATTTGTATGTGAGAACGTGATGGCAAAGCACAGACACGTGGGATCACAGACAGAGTGCGTGGTTGCGGATTCAACTATTGGGTCAGTTAATATTTATTTGTTGGCAGCCCTGAGAAATAAATCTTGAAACTCCCACTCAGACACGGATTGTTAAAAAGCAAGATCCATTTGCCAGACTGATTCCCCTATCAATGGCTACTGATACCGTATGAATAATTTGAATTTGTGCTTACTTTAGAAATGTTCTCAGATATGCCTAATATTCACATAATAAATAGACAAGTCTAAAAATGTCAGAACAAAATCTTAGATAAAGTGAATTATAAATTCTGCCATTTTCAGATAAAGACCGTTAAAAGTTTATTTTTATTTATATCCCACGATAAGGCAAAGACCACAAATATATACCTGATAATATTAGCTTCTTATACTCTTAAGATTCCTATTGCTTTTCTTTCATGGATTCTGCTTTCTTATTTTGACGCTCCAATTTGATTTGTTTAACCCGAGCTAATGTCTCTAATTGTCTGGTCATTAGCTTTTTTCCTTTAAAACTAGTAGGAAGTTTTCTCTTTATCCGTATAGGATTCACCTTACGCTCAATTACTTCTGCAATAGAAATCTAAAAATAAAACATGCATTTATTAATAATTAAAATAATCAATAATAGAATATTACAATTTTCTGTAATTAACATTGTTTAGAATCAGAATTACTTCAAAAATTCTCATTTAAATAAATCAAAATACAAAAATATTGGTAGTTAAGTAAGAATGCTACCCATGTGTCAGTACTCGAAACATGGTTAGTAAGAGCAAATATTACATTTTTTATAAATTGATTATATACATTATTTCAGGTTGTATAACTTTTTACATATTTCATTTGTCTATCTCATGTATCATTAATCACTATTTTTTGTTATTAACCATTATCTGCTTTATAATATTATATCTCTGAACGTATTAAACAATTTTTCAGCTCTGATGATGACCCACATGTTTGGGTTGAAACATCGGCAGCAATAAAAAATGTATAAGGATTGTGTCCTGAATAAATATTTATCATCCACGATATGTAGAACAGTAGACTAACTTCCTTCAACAATAATTATACTAATAAGTTTCAAACAAATAATTATGTAATTTGATTTCAGTATTATTATCATTTTAAAATCTAGTGACATTAATCAAGTATTTGTGAAAAATTAGTTCAAAATTCATCAAATAACTGAGTTATGAGATTTTAAAACATCTTGTTTTGTTTTTTAAATAATTAACTTATCCACCCCTAACTGGTTGTTAATAGTAAGTATATTGGTTCATCACTTTATTATAATTATTTCTTGTCTATCATTATATCAAATATTATAATTTTTGTGTATTATTTTTAACTTTGTATATTCATTATTAAGTCCGTCATTCTGCATATGATACTCCCACAATACTTTCATCTTCTTAATATGTTTCTTTATAGTGCAGAAGAAGACCTCAAATGTGGGTCAGAACATCAGTATTGAATAAATAATAATAATTATTTGATGTTTATCCAACCGACTTCTAGACCATTTACTTTTTGTAATTTATTTATGTTTTATTCCAAAGTATGTTTTCTAGTAAATATTATATGCTGCAGGAAAAAGGTAAGAAAAATAGACAAATCATTGTTTCAGTAATAATTTATTTCAAATATCCTTTCTTAAAAAGAGCACAATCCTTAGTTCCTGTAAAAGAACTAAAATAATTTTATAACTGAGTCAATTTCACAAGCACTTGAAAGCACCACACTTGGTAATTATTATTATGTCAAAATTATTTATATGCAGCTTCATATTATATTAACATTGGGCACAGGACCGGAATATCAGGAAATCTGATAAAAATATAAATGAGTACAATAATCCTACTTTTTTTATTATATTATTTATTTTTTTGTTAAAACAAATTTTTCATGCAATCAAATTTACTAAAATTGAATTAAAATTAAAACAAGTTTTTGTAATCAATAAAAAATGTATAACTGAAATGTTTGGGATTCATGTGGTTAAAGCTTATAAACTACTTTATTTTACATGTCTACAACAATTATTAGTGCTGAAGAATGGTTTAAAATTATCATACAAAATAATATTTTTGTTACAATAGGAGAAAATAGAAAATCAAATGTAATTAAAAATCTCCACAATAAAGGAACTATTCAAATCAAGTAAACCGGAGATATTACACTAAAATTAAATACTTTTAAGGATGAGAAAATACTAAATTTAATTTTTAATATGACTTTTGTGCTACAAATAATGAAGAATAGATGAGAACATGTTAAAAATAGGAAATGCTATTTTACATTATTTCAAAAGGTAAAATCTTTTTAAGACTTATGAGAAAAAACTTTTAAAAAAATATGAAAGTGCACCTCCCCCTCTCTCTCCATAACAAATAAACACTAATATAAAATACAAATTTAAAGGAACTGAACAGATATGAAAATAAATTTTTGTGTAGATAAATAGATGTTTATGCTCTTTATAGAAGTGGGACAGTTTAACACATAACACTAAGATTGACAATGTATACCAGAAGTATATCACAGATGAATAATATTCACAGAGTTTAGACTGTAGATCCACTTAAAATAAACTAGAAGATCAATTAATCATGTAAAGGTAAACAAAAATAAATAAATAAAATATAATTAGAGCAAATTAATTAAGAATTCATCTAAAATAATTCTCAAAATAACTTTCATGATGGTAATGAATGTTTTCCTGCTGATTATTCCTTTTCAGTTCAGTTTTTGAAACAATAAAAAACTAATTTATAATGTTTATAATATTGAGGGGAAAAAAACAATTGATTTCCGTTTTATTATTTTTTATGTGCTGTTATATTCTTTTACATATATATTCATAATTATTGTGATTTATATTATAGATATAATATTCAACTTTAAAATGGGCAAAATTGCCCAAAATGTCATCGAGATGTTAAAATGAATTAAAGCATTAATAAAATGTATAAGGGTTAAAATTTATTTTTTTTTAAATAATGGGATAAAAACTAATAAATAATTAACAAATAAATATTACTAAATATTTTACTTTTGAGCGAATGAGTTATTGCAAAATACCCGTAAAAATATCAACAGTATTATGTACAAACAAAACAAGCACAACCCATAGATGCATATACAAAAGATGCTACAAGCGTATGCATACAAAAAGGTAACTTTAGTGACTTGAGCACTAGAAACAAAAAAGAGATTTTGAGTTAACACCCCCTTCTCTTCCTTCACTGTTCTTTTCTTTCTTATTTATATCCGTTGAGATTATTTAACTTAAATTCTGTACCTAAGAAGAAAAGAGTCAATGTAAAAAATTTTTCAAATTTAAATGAACGGTGTAAATGTTCTACTCTTGTTAGGCGCTCAGACTAACTATTAATGGGAGATCATTAGCCCCTTAAACAATCAATGTATACCCAACACAGATTTTTTTCATAGAGCTCATTCAAATTTCAAAATTTTGGGCATTAGCCCTTTTTATTCAAAGGTTCATAAGGTACTTTATTCAATTAATTAACCTTATAACTATACTAACATACCATAATCACTTAATGTTAATAGAACTAAAATGTAGATAAAAATTATTGCTTAAAATATATAAATATTCTACTTTGTGGTAATAAAATATTAATTTAAAACAAAGTTCTGTTACATAACATTCCTAATTGATAACAGAAATACAGAGGACCCTCTCTACATATGAGAAAGTAGGGTGAAAAATACAGAAGTGGCAAAACAAAAATTACTAGTATGGTGCCAAGGCACTTAATTCTTTTATTTATTTTTTCTAAATCGTGTGGAAACAATAAATTAATATATTTTTAAGACTAATCAGAGATTGGAACCAGAGAAAGATCAACATTATATTCTAATTCGCAGTATAACAAGCCATATTTAAAGAGAATCCACTGCAATCATAAATCATACACAAATAACGGTTTTAAAAAAATAAACATTTTAATCATTATAAATTATTTAGACATTTAAAAATATAAATAGTTTTTCCATATATTTAAAATATGAACATTTTTAAATAACAGAGTGGCATAGGTTTGGGTGAACAAACTTAAAGAGTACCCAAAATCTTTTTAGGTCTCATAGACAATATAATGAATTGTATAAAAGACATTATACATCAGGTTCTTGAAAATGTATCAGAGATACACATAAATATCATAATTTCAAGATTTATTTTGTTCCAAATATTATTTATTAAATATAGATTTAACTACAATAATAATAATAATAATTATATATATATATATATATATATATATATATACATATAGTTTGTTTATTCAATTCTATACCACTCTAAAGTAATAAATACCATGACATTATAAATTCAGGTGCATTAGCTAATAAAATATTTTTTGCTGGCTGAGCGTATATTTTGATCAATTTCAAAATTTGCCAAATAATTTAAAGAGGGAACACAGATTTTGGCATAATTATTGATAACACTACCCCACAGAGTCAGTAATCCTGATTCAATAAAGCAGGAACTCCATTTTTTAGATCTTATATAATTTCCAGAAGGATGGTTTTGACCAGTAAATCCTTCAGCAGAGAGCTCTTCAGATATAGCAACAGTATCACAAAGCAAGTTTCTCCGAGGAGCATAAATATCTTCCACAAAATTATCACCAATGTATAAACATCTAGATTTTTTGCTTGAATGATTGCAGAGGACAGCATATAAATCTTTCCAATTACCTTGGCTGTAAGCATTGCCTAGTTTTATACTATGCTTCTTTAATTCATTTCCTTCATTTAAGCCATTAAGAGAAAAATATGGCCTATCCATTTCAAAAAAGCCTGGTTTACGTGCATAGCAAATGACAATATCAAACAAATCTTTCCAATCATCACCTAAACAGTTAGAAGCAGTAAATGAAGCATTATCAATATTAGAACCAGTAATTAGAAATAACTTTTTAGTCTTTTTTAATTCTCTTAACCAATGAATTACTTTATCAGAACATTTATTAATATAGTTTTGTGGATTGGCTTTTAGCCGCCTAAAGAATTCACTTTCTTCTGTTTTAAAATGATCCCTTGAATACATGTAAAGAAGAGCTGAAAGTAAATCACGACCAACAGCAGGATAATCATCATTTCCAGCAGATTCTCTTGAATCTACAGCTCTAGCAAAGCCAAGCGATGCTGGTAAATCAAAACAATCCAATAATAATCTGAAATTCTGCCTAAATGGTTCTTGCCAAGCTAGAGTCAAATTTTTCATTATATTTTCACTTAACTCACAGGTTTTAGAAGAATCATAAGCTGCTTTTATACTATCTTCAGAAAGAAACTTAGTGCCATGACTGGCTTTAATAATCACACCATTTTCATTCAACTTTAAAATGTTTCCTTTTTTCAAATCTAAAATCAAACCTCGCTGAAGAAAGTCCACAGATTCTGAGTCCAAAGGAGCATATAAATAATTTTCATCATAACCTTTTTTTTCAACAAGGAATTTTGATAGTACTTCATATTCCATTTGAGCTATGGAGTCAATTTTGTATTCACATATTGTATTGTCTAAATCAAATCCAATACAGTCATAGTTACTTAAAGCAAAATTTTGACAGTTTTCATTGAAAATATCCTTCTTAGAACTGAAATTTCTATATCTATTTTCAGCACAAGATATTTTAAAACTACACTTATGATAATTGTGAATTTGGCTAAATAATGTTCTGCCAGAGGAACAATTAAATGATCTATTAAAAGAAAACAAGTTTGACTTCAAAGAATAAAAATATAAATTATTTTTAAAAAGAAGGTAAGCCTTCATAACTGAAATTATGTAACAAAATGATTAATAAACACTATGGATATGACCTTGTATGAGGGTTAGGTCTATTGCAATACACATAGGAAACAATTCTATTTTTATAAAAAACCCAATAACTTTTAGGGGACAAACAGGGATATAGTATAGCACTTATCAAAAGTGTTAACATTTTTTGCATAAATAAAACTTATCACCAGACTATCTTTTATCACAACTAAATGAAACAATATGTAGGTCAAATAACCTCCAATTGGGAGGATACAATGCAAGTCCTTACCTCTTCTGGTAAATGAATGTATCTAATATTTCTCTCCTTAACAAAAAAAAGATCATAATAAAATTCATTTCCGCAGGCATCAGTAAATAAAGCATCACTTATAACAATATTCATAAACCTGGAAATTCAGTGCTGTTATTCCTCTAAAAATTAAATCAACACAACTAAAATGAGATTACTAACCCATCAACTTGTTCTATTTTCCCAGAAATAAAAGAATCATTTCTTAAATCAATGGTTGTGTATGAGCCAGTAACAGCCTGAGCAACACATAATAAACTATTATAAGAGTTGAAGGCTTCCCTTTTACTTTCCCTCACAGCACCGGCAAATTCCATAATGAGTAGACTAATATAAAACAACAACACTAAAACCTACCAATACGGTTACATAGCACTTAAACTGTCAATTCTGTTTTCCTTTTTTAACCAGGAAAACTGCTTGCAAACACGTGCTAATCATGGATATAACCTATGTGCAACCTGCTGCAATGTTTGCCTATGAAGTGTTTGTTTTTATAAAGTTGGACATAATACCTCTTCACAATTAAAAATTTTATTTTATTATCTTTTTCACTGTCAAGTGTTAGTTTAAATTGTCAAAGCTTCTTGAACTAGTAACATTGTACAGTGGGGATAAACATTAAATTCTAGCTGTTAATGGATTTTAATAGTTAATCAAAAGTAAGAAAGTCCTATTTATCACTACTGTGTTGTTACACTCCTGATACCATTTATTGTTAGCTTAGAATTTAGAATTCTCTATATAAAAATAAAAGCTAATGCTGAAATTGACAAACTTATAAAAACTAGTTGTTTTCCAGAACCCACTAATATGTTGTCAGTTACGGAAGTTGATAATAAAACATAACTCTTGGATTTTTACTAAAATTGAAGCAGTATTCAGTACTAATTCTCAAGGGCTGTATGTTTGAAAGATGGAGCAAGATCCCATTATTATTCCACAGTACACTAAATCTCAAAAGTAACTAAATGTGTCTATAAAAATCCATCTCCTTTGACTAAAAAGCCTTCTTAGAAAATGAACCATTGGGAGTGTGTTCACCACATGAGCAAGTTTAATGAGCCTGCGAAAATCATCAACATTCCTACTTTTAGTTACTGATCTGGTATCTAGGTATAGGATGATCGATGTGGTCTTGATCCACCTGTCAATCAACTGAGACACTTGTTGACTGGTACCTTGTATTATTTTTTAACCTGGTACCTTGTTTATTTATATAAACAAGTAACAAGTAAAAACTCATGAAAAGATAGAAAATTTATGTTAGTTTATAATTGGAAAGCACCATCCCCACTACTTTTTGTCTCTAACATGCAGGTAAAGAATAAAATCACCAGTCAGTGTTACACAAATTCAGGCATCATCATAAAGACAGAAAAAAAAAAAAACCTAAGATCACAGCACTCCATGACATTCAATCGTAAACTTGATATATATATATATATATATATATATCATTATGGAGGACATGACGGCCTAGCACATTGGAGTGTGGGGCCCAGAGTGCCCGGGATTTGAATGGTGTGTGTTCGATTCCCACTGGGTCGGTTAATTTTCATTTCTCAGTGAACCTGGAAATTAAACTTGAACATTCCCACTCAATGAATTTTTTTTTTTTTTTTTGTCTTCCCCTTCCTCAACTTGTAGGCTAAAAAGGGTTTTTCTGGGCCAAGGGATGAGGGTGGGGGATTATAATACCTAAGTTAAAAGCGCCACCAGGATGCGAACTCGTAATTATTTTTATCTAATTATCTTTGATCTCGGGTGCCGGGCACAGTGTGGTGCCGTGCACATGCAATAGCCCGTGCCCTGACATTTCCACTCTGGTAAATTAGTGGTGTCAACCTCAAGGTAACCATCCCATCAGGAGTTGGCAAAAAGGACCACAAGGTCCAAGGGCTGACTAGTTCTTCCCATCAGGACCTGTTCCAAGTTTATAGATGATCATAAAAATTGCTGGTAGTGGGTTATGGGTTGGTCTGATAATCATTTTCACCAACACCAGAGTGATCTTTAGATGATACCCTATTTTTTTTATTTGAATGATAATTATAATATTTATCTCACAAGGTTGTTATAACATTGCAGGAATAAATATTAGCTGAATGTGAACACTAAATATTCTTTAACAAATGTGTTTGAACCATACCTAAGGAGGATTAAATTTTTTTTACAATTTTTATTGACAACATAGGCATCTATGGCATTTAACCAGAAGAAAGGGTTTAATAAACAAATATTCTGTGACAAAAACAATTTAGTTTAAAAAAAAAAAAAGTGAATACTATTCTATATTGTAACAGTAAATTATGTCTTCTAACTGGTATTATTGACAGTCACAACAAATCTATGAAGTAAATTAATAATGGAAATATTTTTGACCTCAGATATGATCAAAAGAGATAATACACAATAGTATACAATTTCTTTTTATAAGTTCTAACATTAGCCTTTCATCAGGACCTATTAGGATACTCTGAAATAAATGCTCTCCTTTCTATTTCATACTTAATCTATATTTTTCTTCGATTTTAGCTCTTTTTTTTTTTTACACTGATAGAGCTTGAGTAGAAACTTAAGCACACATTAAAAAAAGTTTTATCCGAGCTCTAGCACTCTTGAAACTATCCTAGTTTTTTACTTAAATTTTCTTTTCTTCTTCTTGTATCACTACAAATTTCTCCTCAATATAAATTACAGTAACTACCGTCTGAGGTAGAAATAAAAATAATTTATAAAAGTCTCTTTATGAACATTATTATAATTTTCAAGTCTTCACATATTTTTCATAATTAATATGATAGGTGAAAACAAATTCAAAGGTTCATGGTAAGATGTTTTAACTTACCACAAGTGGCACACATTTTAAAAACTACAACACACCTGTTACATTAAAAAAATTGTCTTGGTTATTTGTGTACAATACTTAAAAACTAAATGAAGATAAAACATATTTAAATCATCAGACTATTTTCAGTTAGCACTAATTGACTAAAATATTACCCAAGTCATAATTCCATGAGCAAGTCACTTCTATGACTCTTCGACAAACTAAAAATAATCATAATTTCCAGTTTTAAATTAATACATTTTTTTTTTCATATACAGAGTGTTTCAGGGTTAAGTGGCCAAACTGAAAAAATAAATTAAGGACCTCAAAGCAAGAAAAAAATTTCCTCTGAAGGTATGTCCGCAAACACTTTGTTTAGGAGATATTCGCACCTAAAGATTTTCATTGTATGAAATAAATAAAACCTATTTATTTCTTCTAACTACTTTATTAATTAAATGTAAACATTAACGTTCATATTAAATGTTATTAGTGAAGGATGTCCGCAAACGCTTTGTTTAGGAGATGGATTAGATAGAATACTAATATGGCCCTTTATGCCTAACTCTATAGAAACTATTGGAAACATAAGGGTTAATACTGTTTGGAAATAGCATTGGGAACTCTCAATAACATTTATCAGTTTGTAAGGAGCTTTCGCAGAGTACTCATCATGCCTTCCATTTATACTAATGGTGAATATGGTGTTAGTATACGGTTTTTGCAATGGTAATGCTGCCTGTCATGAATATGCCAGGCGATTTCCAAATAGAAGATTACCAAACAAGTCTATCTTTAGCTCCACGTTTCAATGTCTTAGAGAAACTGGTGTATTTCCTATAATACCTCGTGGTGATGGTATTTATGCCCCTTTACAAAAAGTCTATGCAAGTCCGATCAATGACCTTAATTCCTTACTAAGAAGGATAATTGGATCTTGTGAAACAATAACACATATCCAGTGCCATTCTGCCACTGCTGCTCTTGAAGAAAGATGCCAAGCCTGTCTTAATGCTCAAGGAAATTGCTTTCAACAACATTTAATATTTACATTTCATTAATAAAGCAGTTGGAACAAACAAATAAGTTTTATTTACTTAATATAACGTAAATAATTCAAATAATGAAAATCTTTAGGTGTGAATATCTTCTAAACAAAGCGTTTCTGTACATACATTCATAGGAATTTTTTTTCTTGTTTTGAGGTCCTTAATTCACATTTTCAGTTTGACCACTTAACCCTGAAACACCTTGTTTAAGGAAAATGCTTGAGGATTTTTAAAATAAAAAAGAGAGAATAATTTTTTTTAAAGATTAACTTACCATGGGCATAAATAATAAATCGTATGCTTTAAGAGCTGTGAGAAAATAAAGTTTCCTTTTCTTCATAACTTGTATTCCTCTCTTTCGTAGAAATGTGATTATGCATACCTGAAGGAAAAGATAATCTTCAAAATAATGACTCATTATGGTATTTGATGAAAAATTAACAAAGATATAGTACCGAAAAAAAAAAGACCGTTTGAGGTATATATATATATATTATTATTTTTTTTTCGGTTGGTACTACAGACCATGAAGATCTTTGGCCGCGAGATATGCTCTCCTTACAGACGTGTGATACCTGCAGGAGCTCAGATAGTCTGGAGGGGATCACCCAACCTCACGTAGCTACGAAACATGGTTTCCATGGTGCAGCGGCAGACTTCCCTTTGGGGCCAAACTGGCAATGTCCTTCCCACCGACTTTCTCGGATTCAAGGACATTGACAAATGGTTCTAGATCCATGGATTATGGCTACTCGGAGTCAGCGTATTTGTTTCCCCGAAACAGACCGTCCATGGACTGAACCTCAGAGGGACTATTAACATCCTGGTAAACCACATCCCGATTCCCGATTTAAGTACACGGGGTAGGGTCATCAGTCCTACGCCCAGTCGGTGTGAGTTGCCTCCAGTAGGCTGACGGGCCTCTTAATTGGCTTTGCTTAACTTTGATTACCTATTGCAAAGCGCCTGAGCCCGTAGGGCTACCCCATCCCCTATATATATATATATATATATATATATATATATAATTAGCTATATTAATAATTGCTTCTCCAAGCAAACAATGCTAATAGATAAAAAAAAAAAAACCTACAAATTATCTAAAGTAATTTTTTTCCTATTATCTTGAAACTATAATAGATAGTTTTTCAACTTAATTAATGATATGGTAATTTCTTAAAGAATTATTTTATTTGTCATAATCTTAATTTATTTTTCAATGAAATGGAGACAAGTAAAATAATTGGATGTAAGAAACCATTTTTGTTAATATCAAGTTCTTCCATATTCCCTAATATTATTCATGATAGATTGAGTATTACTTATAACAGATGATTCTATTTTTCTCAATAGAAGCATGTTTATAGGCTCTGACTTTCTTTTATAATTGGGAGAGGGAGAATTATCTGCTCTCACCAAAAAGTCTCTTGAGTTTTTATTATGAACAAAAATTATGAGTGATTATTGGCTTTTTTTTTTTTTTTTTTTTGTGTATGGGTATATTTGAAAATATGTTTACAAAGATACTGAATATATCACATATATTTATATTCATTTAAAGTTTTGGGACACTGAGATAAACTCTCGATCCTCGATTACTAAACATTTGCCGCCAGAAATGTGATAAAATCTTCACATGAATCATAAAATCTATAATCGGATATGTTGTTGCATACAATTATTTCCTGGGGAGGGTTAGTACAAATAAGTTTGTCAATGAAACTCAGTTAAGAACCTATAGGTTCATTGCTAGTGATTTTTCTAAAAATATAGATGTTCT